CATGGCAGTCGGAGTTTTGAAAACGATAATTTCGGAAAAGTAGTACTAGAATAAGCCTCGCTCCCCAATGGAGTGAGTTTTGAACGGAAAACGGAATGCTATTCGAGCCTCAAATGGTTTTCAATTTAGAAATTTCTTTATTATCTTCTGTTATAATAAACAATACATACAAATTTAATTTTTTTTTATATATATTTTTCTATTGTATTATTTTTTTGTCGGAAAACTACCAAAATAAATTTTTCTATTTTTATTAATTTCCGACATGCTCCGAAATATTAGTCAATGGGGAGTTCAGCCACAAAAAATCGGACCGACAAACACAACTTTTATTCTTGACAATATGTCTTGACAATTTTATTCTTGATAACTATTTTATGTGATAAGATATTTCGATTGAATATTTATATATGTATATTAATAAATACTCACCGAACAATATTTTTTAACAATAAAATTCTTCCTATAGAGACAAAAATTCAACCCCGATTAATTTTCACAAATTTCTCCAATAATTCTGATCCTATTCTAGTACTTTTCCGAGATTCCGTTTTCCGAAATTCCGACTGCCATGTGACAACACCCTTTACGAATTACTTTTATTGTAGAAGTCAACGTATTGTGCACCAAATATTAGAAAAAGTCAGAATATCGCGCGATTGAAAGTGATATAGCTGCATGCATGTCGAAGTTATTCGCAGAACTTAACTGCACTTTCGTAGAAAAGAAAAAGTATCACTTGATCATTCGATTCAATTACTGCTATTCGTTGCATCTTCTATGACGCATCTCTTGTTCGATATACTCGTATTCAAATTGAGACACGTTTCTCAAGGGGTCAGTTTGTCACACTCAATATGACGTTGTCAGTTCAGATCTACGTTATACTTATCCGTCGAGACTAGTGTCCCTACTCGAGACAGGTAACTATTCTGTCAGTCACGGAAACCCGCGTCCAATTGCTATGGCAGACGTTCCGGGAAAAAGATAGAGAAAAGTATAGGCAGCATGTTTCAAATATTAATGTATCCTTTTGCTGCGAAGAAATTTTCGAGGGTTAGGTTTCCTCGGACCTTCAAACGAGATTTGTCCGTCGAAGAGAAACCATTTCGGAAAATATGGTATCTTCTACTATAGATTATTATGAGATTAATAAAACTTGTTGAGGTTTGTCGGTCTTGGCCGTATCAGAAACCGAGGGAGAGACGATTTATCTTTATCTTCACGATGATACTTGTAATAAACGCAATGGTGCCACAAGTAATTATTATTAAAAATCTTTTTGACACTTTTTATATTTTACTTATATAGATTTTTTTTTTAGAACTCGTGTTTATTAAGACTTTTTTTACTTATTTTGAAGCATAAGTACTAAATCCCATTAAAATATTTTACTTTTTTTTCCAACATCTTTTCCCCAGGTAACAAGCTAACGTTAAAATAACGTCATTGACATCAAAAAGTAATTTTGTCATTTATGACGTCAGCTTGTTACCTGGATTGTATGTTTGATATATCATGCAACTATAAAAAAAATATAAGATTTATAAAATTTTTAGAGTAATGGATTTTCCTAACTTTTATTCTTTTTCGCGCGAATAACTTTATTTACTTTTCAGGTGGCACAATTTTTCGTATGCGAAAATATGGAGTGTGTCTATGAAACTATACCTCCACACATGTTGGCAATAATGTTATTGATAAAATATTTCACTTTGCATTTGAATAAAAACCAGGTAGAGTACGAATTGCAAAAACACATATGCGTATCTAAAATTATTAAAACATTTTCTCTCATCTTATTTAATCCTGCATATGGACACATTAAAAAATCGGTAAAATGTTTTAATAGTTATTTGTGTAACAAGTGCGGGTTGACAATTGTACACTCACCTTCGACTCGTGTGCCCACTCCGCACTCGTGTCTAATTGTCAACTTCCCGCACTTGTTACACACAATATTTTATATTACAAATGGTGCGTCTAAAGAAAGACTTGCGGGGTGATATGATTGAGGAATAAGGAGAGTGTCGGAAATGAGCTGTGTGGGAATGAATGATACTGTGCGGGAATGAGATATACCGCACTGTTTTGAGTGGAAAATTTCTCGTGTGTGGAAATAGTTATTTTTTGCACAGAAAATACGCGCGTAATGGGCGACTTTCCATGCACGTGTAATATAATAGTATATTAACTAACAAGTGTGGGAAATCGTAAATCGGCCGATTTGCGATCCGTACACACGATATTTTGTGTGACCGGTGCGTGGAAAAGAGCCTTTCCTAAAATCCCATCATGTGCGGAAAGGGTAACTTTCCGCGCACCTGTTGCACAAAATTATTTTTTATTCACAAATTTGACAAAGCAATGGAAGTTTGATAAAACGTATTACTTTTATTTTTTCCTATATTGTACTGGATTTACTAAATGTATTTTTTTATTTAGGTATTAGTTTCTTTTCTTTATATTTGATGGACGACTGAAGAAAATATTATCAAATTTTACAATTACATTTCAGATAATACTTATTTATATTTTGTGTGGCGAAAAGTATTTTTGATTTTATATATGCTATTCTTATAATATATTTTGTTGCAGCAAATCGGTATTGTAAGCAAATACCACTTTTTTTAACTTTTTAATTTACAAATAATATATTATTGACAATAAGAACCATAGTTTCAAATAAATAAAAAAATTTTATCGTTTCTTTGATAGATTTATTGCAATTTTTAATATTTACTTTACGATTCTATCATACTTTTGCATATATATATATATATATGTGTGGTGTGTGTGTGTGGTGTGTGTGTGTGTGTGTGTGTGTGTGTGGTTGTAGTGTGTGTGTGTATATCGATAATATTTACAGGTTAAGGACCTTACGGATCGTTTGTTTATAAACTGGAATAAAATCGATAATGAAGAAGAACGCAAATTATGGAAAAATATGCTAAAAACTGGCAAATGGTACTCGAAAATGTATGCTTGTAAGTAATCTCTTTCTTTATTTGAGATAAAATATATTTTTTATATAATTGAATATTGCCGCATCTGGATTAAAACTATTATGTACGAGGATCTCTCGGTATATGAACACAGTTTGCTTGTCTGATTATTTTTCGAAATTTAAATATTAAATAATGATTATAATTCATTAATTGCTGATGTATTTGTCGTATTTTTTCAATTATTCGCCCCTTGCGACCTAAATTTGTATTAGTAGTTTTTGAAAACTTATTTTTTTAATGTTAGAAAAACTTGTTCAAGTTTGTTTTTTAAATTTTTAAATTATTTTTAATCTAATTTTTAGTAAATCTGTTTCAAATTATATTTTTTTGCATATAGATTTGAAATATATTACTTCTATGACAATATTTATAGATTTTCAGCATTATACAATTTTCAGCTAATAGCATATATGCTTTTAGTGTATTTTAATTGGTGGTCAATATAAATTAATTATATTATCTAGCTTAAATTTATAATATTATATAAAAAAGAATATTTTAATTTTTGCTGAAGATTATGTCTTTGCAAATTAAAACTTTATTTTGTTACGAAATAATTTTATTTGCCAGCTATTTTGTGTTTGACTATTGTACAATATAATAATAAAGAGATTTAGACATTTGTAATGTGACAAAATACTTTAATGTAGCGGTATTTTTTAACAAGTAATATTATATAAAAAGGATATAAAAAAAATGTTTTTTAGTTTCGTTTTTGATGAATTTCATATTTTTGTTGTTGTTGTAGCTTATTTTATATAGGTATCGTCCTATTTTCATTTACCGGTTTCATGCCACGCGTGTTGGACTTCATAATTCCTTGAATACTTCTCGTCCACTGATGCTACCATATCCGGCGTATTACTTTGTTAACGAGGAGAAATATTTCTATATTATATTTTTTGCCATATTTTATTTAGTGCGGAAATAGGTCTGAGTGGAATAGCTGCGCACGACTGCTTGCTCTTTTTTACATCGAACACGCTTGTAGCCTTTTCGCCGTGAATGGGTAATGTTTCTCTGTGATTAATTAATTGGAATTAATCTAATTTTGAATTGAAACATTAACAAATTCTCCACTTAACGCGACGGAAAGAGTAAATTAAGTCACTAGATTATAAAGTTGGTACCACAATTATAACGAAATTCCGTCATTTTTGGCTCCACGCTATTCGTCAATTTCAGAGTTGGGTAATAACTATAATTAATTAGTTAAAAGATAAAAAAGTTAAAAGTTAATAACTTTTAACTTAGCTTAGTTAATTACAATGTATTAATTTTTAACTTCAACTAATTATTTTTGACCTTAAATTTATTAACTTTTTTTCTAAGTTAAATTTTTTTTATCTCTGAACTTATTATTTTTTTATAAATTATATGAACGTAATTATTTTAAAATTAAAATTAATTAATGAAAGGCTCGTATAAATTAAACAAAATTAAACAATCATATATAGTAGGCCAACTAAACGAGCAAATAAATAAGATGTAAAAATTTTTTTATTAATAGTTAAATCATTAAATTAACATTCCGTTACAGAATCGATATAAATTGTAAACGTTTCGACTGCACTACAGTCTTTATCAATACATAAAAATTAAATATTAAAATATAAAGTTAGATGTTAAAAATACAAAGTTAGTTAAATATTAAAATATAAAATTGAAACGATTCTTCGCTGTTGACCAATAGATATGCAAGGCGATTGGTCTGAGATGCCAAGTTATGCGACATTTGAGCATGCTACGGATATAATACGCGAATTAAATCAATGTCAGAAAAAATTAAAAATCTTTCAACTTACATTATCGTTTTAACAAGTCCTTTTCCCCGATATTTCAAGTGTGTGTTGCGAAGTCTGAATACCAAATGTCAAAATAGAGAGCGTGATGTATTTATTTATTACCAATGTTTTTTCTAAATTATGATTCAGCAAATTTTTTAAGTATGTCAAAATAACTACTGTCTAACAATTCGGTGTCTGTATTTAAATTAATTCCATTTTTCTGTTCTTTAATGTGGATCATTTCAGATATTAGTCTTTTTTGGTAATTCTTTTCATGATCCATAATTTTAATATTGTCCCAGTCAAATGTATGTTGTTCGTTTAGAATGTGTTCCGTGATAACCGAATGTCTAGCAGAGTCTAATTTAATATTATTTTTATGTTCTTTAAGTCTCGTTCCTAACTGTCTTTTTGTCTGTCCGACATATGTGGCGTCACAATCGTTGCAATTCAATTTGTAAATAACGTTAGAATTCGTGGGGCAATTATTTTTGTCCTTTTGAACTCTTATGAAGTCATTTAATTTTTTAATGCAACGATATCCTACCACTACGTCAGGTCTTCTTATTGCTGAAGCAACTTTCTCAGATATTGATTCTATATATGGTATGACAAAATATTTAATGTTAGTATTAGTATTATTAGTATCTGTTATATTGTTATTATTAGGCTTGTTAAATTTCTTAGTTGAGAGATTTTTTAATCTGCGTTTTATTTCTGTGAAAATTAGATCAAGAGGATAACCGTTGGATAGCAAAATGTTAATAGCTTTCTCTATATTTTTTTTGTGAAATTGCGGATGTGATAGTAATAAAGCTCTATCTACCAAGTTATAAATTGTTCCTATTTTATGACAAGTCGGATGATTTGAAAAAAATGAAAGTAATCTACCTGAGAATGTCTTTTTGTGATACCAATCTAAATAAATTTTGTTATCTATTACTTTGATCATTATGTCTAAAAAGCTTATACAACGATTATCCTCCTTTTCCAATGTAAATTGTAGTCTATCGTTATAATTGTTGAATTCGTTCAAAACATATGTAATATTGTCAGCGGAAGTGCATAAAATAATGTCGTCTACATAACGGAAATAGAAAGTCATTTCGCAATTTAAATTACTAATTACTAATGTTTCCAAGTCCTGCATGACTATATCGGCAATGATCGGAGAAAGTGGGGAACCCATAGGAGTCCCATAAATTTGTTTGTAAGTTATGTTATTAAAAGTGAAAAATGTAGAAGTTAATATAAATTTTATCATACCTATGAATTCATTTTTGGGAATCTTTGTGTGTGACTCTATAAAATGCCATCTATTATTGATACCGTTTAATGCAAGATCTACGGAAACATTAGTAAATAATGAAACAACGTCCAATGAAGCTATTATGTCGGTATCTTGTATTGTTTTCCCTGATAGAATGTTGCATATATCAAAACTGTTATTTACAAAACTGTCCGCTCTAGGAAGGCTATCTTTTAAAATTTTATGAAAGAAAGAAGCAATATTATATAGAGAAGTATTTATTGAGGAAACTATTAATCTAAAAGGAATATTTTCCTTGTGGATCTTGGGGAGCCCATAAGCTTTAGGAAGAAGAGAGTCGCTTGAAAATAAATAATAATATTCTTTTTTGTTGATGAAGTCTTTTTTCAACCATTTTTTTAAACAAATATTGAGGTCTTTTTCTATTTTTGTTGATGGATTGTTTTTAACTATGGTATACGTAGAATCGTCTTCTAGGAGACTCTCAACTTTTTTTATATAAAATTCTTTTTCTAGTGCGACTGTAATGCTGCCTTTATCTGCTCTGGTAAATAAAATATTAGGATTTTGATTGCAGAATTTAATTGTGTCTTTATGCATGTGAAATAATTTTTCTTGTATGTCCGTTTTTTTGTCGTTATTGTTTAAAAATAATGAAAATTGTGGAATGGCAGCATTACGAATCGAAGTAAGATTTCTGATCCCGTTAGAATTGCTTTCTATATCTTTGATGAATTCGTGTATAGCTACTTTTTTATTTAATTAACTGGGAGACTAAATTCACCTCCCAATTGTAATAGATTGGTTACATTGGGGGGAATTTTTTTATCAGTTAAATTAATAAACCATTTCTGGTTAGTTTGTTGTAAAGGGTTATGTGTAGCATAACGAAAACTGTTGGCAGAAACAGTGTTATCAACAATATTTGTCGAAGATGTTGTTTTTAATTCGATAGGATCAATATTTTTAATGTACTCTGTTTCATGCGATTTACGTAGCCATAGGAATTTTTTCTTATGTATGAGATATAATTTTTGGTTGAACAAGAAAAGGAGTTGCAATGGTGATTTAAAATCTCCTGCCAGATATAAGATGGTAAAAGATTTTGGAGAATTTGGAATTGTCTTGACCGTTTTTTATTAAGTGAGTTTAAAGTTCTATATAAATCAAATATCTCTATGTTAAGAATTTCAGTTTGATATTATGCAACAAACCACGCATCCTATTTTTTGATTTATAGTGGTAGAAAACAAATTTATTATTACAGAAATTACGCAAATGGTTGGGAAACAAACAATATCTCTTACATTCCCTTAAAAATTTCAACTTCGACATTGCCTTAATTATCGCATAATTAAAATTTAGCCAAGATTTAAAATGTTTTAACGTTTCTAGACCAAAATAGTTATAAATAAAACTAGAATTAAAACGATGGTATTTAAACGGGTAATTAGTCACACGCATTATAAGGCCAGCGTTTATTAAAATTAATTAATGAAAGGCTCGTATAAATTAAACAAAATTAAACAATCATATATAGTAGGCCAACTAAACGAGCAAATAAATAAGATGTAAAAAATTTTTTTATTAATAGTTAAATCATTAAATTAACATTCCGTTACAGAATCGATATAAATTGTAAACGTTTCGACTGCACTACAGTCTTTATCAATACATAAAAATTAAATATTAAAATATAAAGTTAGATGTTAAAAATACAAAGTTAGTTAAATATTAAAATATAAAATTGAAACGATTCTTCGCTGTTGACCAATAGATATGCAAGGCGATTGGTCTGAGATGCCAAGTTATGCGACATTTGAGCATGCTACG